TTCTCTTCACCTCTTTTATTCTTTCTTCTCCTTCCTTCATCTCCTTTCTTCTTTCTTCGAGTTTTTGTTCTGTGACTTCGTCGAATTTTTCTCTTTTTCCTTTCTTCTTCTTCTTCTTCTTCTCTTCTTCTTTCCTTTTTTTGGGCTTTGTTTTTTGTCGTTGCTGCTACAACAGAACAAAGCCTGTGTTGCGCTGTTTTTTTCATTTTTCTTCTTCTTTCTTTTTTCTTTTCTTTTTTTGGTTCTGTTTTTGATCACTGTTGCACTCAATAGAACAGCTTGAGAAAAGCTCTGTTTTTTCTTCAGTTCAGAGAGCTTCTTCAGTTCTTCTTCTCTTCTTCTTTCTTTTTTCAGCTTTGTTTTTTGTTTTTCAATTTTCCACTGCTTCACTTTGGATTTTTGAATTTTAATTATGAATTGATATATTTTAATATATTATATTGAGTTTTTAGTAAAATCCTCTTGCAAAAAGATCCCAAAGTTTGGTAATTTATATAAAATCCTCCTTCTGAAAGGTCCCTTTTAGATGCTTATGGTCAAGTATATGTCCCAAAATTACCAGTATATTTCTGAGTGTAAAATTTAAATCTAAGAGATAAATTTATTCCTTTGTAATTCTAAGAGGTAAATTGATTCCTTTGCAATTCTATTACTTTTCCAATAAAATATGATCTTTTCTCCCTCATGTCATGAGCAGGTTAGGTGTCGTTGATCACTAATCAACTTCATAACCTTTATGTTTTTCTTTTCTAGTGGCTTCCAGCTTTGCAATAAATATTTACAACTAGTTTGGAATAGTGAAAAGTAATTATTAAATGGTTTACCGATACAACATCACTTGAATGCTACAATTGTAGCTTACTGGAACAAGGATTACTAATTGCTGATTTACTTATGTGTCTCATAGGGTATTCAATGAGTAATAAAGATAAAAGTTGGATGGGTCTTCGAAGATCCACCGATGATTATATTTGTCGAGTAAATGATTTTCTTGACAAAGCGTTTGAACGATCTTCCCAAGGAAATGAAATATTATGCCCTAGTAAAAGGGGCTTTAATCGTTATTGGCATTATAGAAATGTGGTGGAGGATCACTTAATTGCTTATGGGTTTACATATGGATACACCGAATGGGTTTTCACGAAGAAGGGTTTTTCTCGAGAGATTTTCCACATCCAACCATTGATGATGATGGTTCCGATATGCATGACGATATTGATGGTCTGCTTCATGATACTTTTAGAAATGTAGAAGGTGACTTGAGCCATGAAGAAATGAGAGAGGGACCATCTGAAGAAGCAAAGAGATTTTTTAAATTAGTGGAGGATGGAAAACAAGAGTTGTATCTAGGGTGTGAAAGTTTCTCTAAACTGGATTTCACCATTCGGTTGTTCTTATTTAAATGCATTCATGGGTTGAGTAATGTGGCATTTTATGACTTGTTAGACTTGATAAAAGAGGAATTTTCATTTGCTAAGTTACCTGAGTCTTTTCACAAGGCAAAAAATGTGATAAAAGATTTGGGTCTTCATTATGATAAAATACATGCATGCACTAACGTTTGAATGTTATTTTGGAATGAGAATGAGAAGGCAGATAATTGCTCTGTGTGTGGATCTTCTATATGGAAGAATGTGCGTGATGGCTTGACTAATAGGAATACCAAAGTTGCTGCAAAGGTTTTAAGGTACTTTCCTTTAAATCCTAGGCTTCAGAGGATATTCATGTGTTCTGAAACAGCTATAGCAATGAGATGGCATGCTACTGAACGACCCAAAGATGGAAATATAAGACATCTTGCTGATGAGGAAGCTTGGAAGGATTTTGACTTGTTGTACCTGGACATCTCTAAAGATCCTCGTAATGTTAGATTGGGTCTTTCAAGCGATGATTTTAACCCATTTCGAACCATGAGCATTTCTAATAGTACATGACCAGTCATGTTAATGAACTATAATTTATCACCATGGATTTTCTTGATGCCGGAGTATATAATGTTATCAATGATCATTCCAGGTCCATCATCTCCAGGAAAGGATATAGATGTGTACCTACAACCACTAATTGCTGAGTTGAAGGAACTATGGGAAAAGGGAGTAGAAACATATGATGCTGAAACTAACCAAACATTTTTAATGCGTGCAGCCTAATTGTGGACAGTTAGTGATTTTCCAGCATTATCAATGCTTTCCGGATGGAGCACCAAGGGGAGATGGGCATGCCCCACTTGTAATTATGATACTTACTCTCAATATCTCAAACATAGTCGTAAGATGTGTTACTTGAGGCATCAGGCATTTTTACCGCATGATCATCCATTTCGGAAAGATAAGAAATCATTCAATGGTGAAGAGGAGGATCCAGCCATGCCTACTCCCTTATCGGGGGTAGAAGTGCTCGCAGAACTACGTGAATTCAATATTATCTTTGGAAAAGGCCAAAAGAAAAGGCCTCGGTGTAATGACGGTCCGTGGAAGAAAAGATCCATCTTTTTTGAATTGCCATATTGGGCACATAATAAATTGAGGCAGAATCTTGACATAATGCATATAGAGAAGAACATATGTGATAGTTTGCTTGAGACTTTGTTAGATATACCTGGAAAGTCCAAGGATCATGTAAATTCTCGCTATGACTTGCAAGAAATGGGGATACGCAAGGAGCTTCAACCATTAAAAGATGATAAAAATAGAAAAGTTCATCTAGCTAAAGCTTGTTACTCCATGAAACCAGAAGAAAAAAGATTATTTTGCATCGTCTTAAAGAATGCCAAATTACCAAAAGGGTGTGCCTCAAATATATCACATCGAGTGCAAGTGGAGGAGATGAAAATATCAGGTTACAAAAGCCATGATGCTCATTTCATAATGCATTACATGCTCCAAGTTGCGGTTATAAAAGTGTTACCCAAGAATGTCTCTTTGGCCTTGATTAGGTTGAGAAATTATTTTAGAACCATATGTAGTAAGGTTATAAGGCAAAGTGATGTTGATAAAATGCAGTCTGAAATTATAGATATAGCATGTGACCTCGAAACAATTTTCCCGCCAACCTTTTTTGATATAATGATACATTTGCTTATCCATTTAGTGAATGAAATTAAGCTTGGCGGTCCGACTCATTTGCGTTGGATGTATCCCTTGGAGAGAAACTTGTATAAGTACAAAGCATTTGTTCGTAATCGAACTCATCCAGAAGCATCAATAGCAGAGGGATTTTTGGCAGAAGAATGCTTGAACTTTTGTTCGAGATACTTACATGATGGGATGAAGACATGATTTAGTCGCTATCAAACTGAAGATGATATAGGCATTCAAATAGAGGGAGATGATTCTTCAACTATATTTCCTAATATAGGCCATCCAATCGGAAGTAAGAATAAAATGAAAGGCAAGACTTTTGACATGGATTTAAAGTTATGGTTTGAAGCACATCGATATGTTTTGTTCAATACTGGAGATGAACAAGTTGAGGCATTTATCAAGTAAGATAAAATATATAACTGTCATTCGTAATTTAAACTTTATTTTTTTCATGATAAGATATTTTAAACTGTATCTCCTATGGTCTAATGATTAAATTTTATATTTATACTTACAGGGAACATAAGAATTTCATTGACAATCATACAAAAGGAAATGCATGGCTAAAAGCACGAATTCATAGTCGAGAATTCGAAAATTGGCTTAGAGAGAAAGTTAAAAATGTTATAGTACCCATTCATTTAAGATGGCTAGCTAAAGGGCCTAACACAGTGGCTAAAAGATATACTGCCTATTTCATTAATGGATATCGATTTCATACAATGGAACGAGATGCTCCATGCAAGACTCAAAATAATGGAGTGACTTTGTCAGCAACAACAGATAGTTTTGCTAGTGCTAGGGACCAAAATCCCATCGGTGGAACCGTTATCTACTATAGAGCTATTCAGGATATAATTGAAATTGATTATTGGGACTGTTTAAGTGTTGTACTATTTAGATGTGATTGGTTTCATAATAAAATTGATGGATATGGATTAACGCGGGTGTACTTCAACAAAAAATGCAGTACAGATGATACTTTTGTCCTAGCATCTCAAGTACATCAAGTTTTTTATGTGGAGGATCCAATTGAAAAAGATGTTTATTATGCAAGAAATAAAGTCTCTGTTGATTTATATGATTTGGAAGAAGAGAATTGTCCTAATATTGGAGAAACATTTTGGAGAGAGCCTAATGATGATATTGGTTCATCAAATATATTACTCGACGTGGATGCCAGATGGTCGAGAGAAGATATACCTGCGTATATCATTGATATGCCTTCTCAATCACAAGATACAACTATGGAAACATCGGAAGAGGAGGATGAGTATGATGATACTGATTGGGATTGGATGGAGGCTGATGATTGATAAATAATATTCTGAACTTCTTTAAATATATAGTCATCATTGTTTTTAGTGAGTAATAATGCCATTTTTAGAAATATTATGTGATTATTTTTCTTGTTTGTATGCTTTTAGACTTTTTGAATTTATTTTTTCCTTACAGCTCTATATTGAATTGCTTCAATTTTACAGGTTTTATACCAGCAATTATTACTGATTGTAAATTCAAGTAAGTTGCATAAAGTTTCTCTTTCAAGTAAGTGGCACAAAATTTCTCTTTCACGCCTTTTCTTCCTTTTTTTTCTTTGTTATGTTCCATTGTCTAACCTGATTAGCTTTGATTTTCTTAAGCTTACATAGATTTAGATGTCATGGGTCAAGAAGGGTCTTCAAGAAAAAATAAAAAAGGAAAAAACCCATCATATGTTCAAGCTAGAAGTTTATCATGTTTGGCAAAAAAAAGAGAATGTCATTGACAACAAAAAAAACCGTTCAAGCTATACAGTCAGAGAAAGAGCATCTGCTAAAACTAATTGAAGAACAACCAACAATAGAAGAACGATCTGAAGCAAATGAATGACATGTAGAGGATCAATTTGTAAAGAGGCACATTGTATATGAGCAGATGCAAATAGATTCTACCAGTCCTACAGCTAATGAACGATCCGAAGAACAAGGTAAGTCTACATAACTTAGAATCTTACTGAATTCATCCATCACCTCTGATTTTTTGTGTTTTGTTGAAGCTTATGGTCCTGTAACACCAAAAAAAGAGGCAGGACACGAATGCGTACTGTCCATAGCAGAAAGACGCGTAAGGTGATCACACTTAACAACTTGAATCAGCCCATTGGTCCTACTAAAGAAGATGTACGAGAGTTTGGTAGCTTTCTCGGTACATTGGCAAGGACTGCAACTCTTTGCCTACTGGATATATTGATATGGAGGAAAATGGACACAAAAGACGATTTATAGACATATACCAAGGTTTGAAGTTCCGATACAAATGTTCAGTTATTTGTTAAAAGTATGTTACAATTTCTGCTAATAAAATGAAATCAAATTGTAGTTGAAGTATGATATTCCTGAAGCTGCAAAAACATGGACTTTATTTTCAATTGGAAATGCTTGGAGAAGGCATAAAAGTCAACTGGAGAAAGATCATTATGATGCCTATCAAAATGATGAAGTTCACATGGCAAAAAGGCCCGATTATATACCAGAATATCAGTTTAAAGAGCTCCTGAAATATTGGAGTTCTGATAAACTACAGGTAAATATAAACCATGATCTTGACAATAGTTACAACCAGTATATAAACCATGATCATGGTTCTGTGCATCACATGGTTCTTCTGATATAGTTGCTAGTGCATATCTGTGCATCTCGTGGTTCTTCTGGCATGATTTAAGGGCCTTTGAAGTGCATCTCATGGTTCTGTGCATCTGTGCATCTCATGGTTCTTCTGATATAGTTGCTAGTGCATTCTACTTTTTGATCATGTCAGATATCAAATTCTAGCTGGTGGGGAAGTTCTTAAAATGGAGAATTCACTTAGCTTCTAGGTTTCTCCATTAGATTTCACTCTAATTCTGATATGTTCAAGATATCTGCAACGGCCTTCAACTTAGGAAATTGTGGGGATTTTTTGGAGTCTTAAGTAATTGTTTGTGAATGTAGATACATCTTCAATGCTCCTGTTGTAAATGTTGTGGTCGTCTTCACGACACTTGTTACTCAAATTCATAAGTATCCAAAGATACCGATAATATTTTTTTGCTTGGAATAATCTAAAGATAAGGAAGGGTTTTAAATAAGAACTTCATAGATTGGTTATCAAGTTCAACGAAAAGTATCCCAACAAGATTAGTCGCTGAAACATATAGCTATAACTCTACAATTTGTATATCCTAGCATACTCTGATATAGTGAATCTTGTCAATTGCTCTCCTTCATTCTTTGCTAGTTTAGAGACCACAAGTTGTTGCAAATAACTCACAAGTAGCTGAGCTATAACTCTACATATTGGTTCTGTGCATCTCACAAGTTGCTGCAAATAATGTTGTTCTATTTTGGTTTATTGTATTGTATTAATTCATTTTATTTGTAGAGATCATCCGAAATCAACAAGGAGAATCGAAAAAAGTTGATGGATCCACACACTGCTGGCAAAACAAGTTTTGCTGTAATTCGTAATGAATTGGTGTGTACTATTATTTATTATTATATCTATTATATTTTTTAAAGATCTCTTATATCCACTTTCGTGCGACTAGGAAAAAACAAAGGAACCTGTATCACTTAAGGAGATGTTTGTGGCCACAAGATCAAGAAAACCTGGGCGTGCGTACAAGCACTCAGACGAAAATACAACTAGTAAAATTGTATGAATATTATCTATATGCAAGCTTTAGATGAGATCATTTTATTTATTCTTCTTTCTTATTTTGTATTTACTTTAATTCTTTTGTTGAATTTGCTTTGTTAGGCTGAAATGGAAAAAATTGAAACACAACAAAGTGTAGATGGCAGTCAGTCTGTAGATGCATTTTCATCTGTCATGGGTCCTGAACATCTAGGACGTTTAAGATTATATGGACGGGGGGTTACAAAGACTACTTTGAAAGGAAAAGTGGGCCACTTCATGTCGACTTCAAATGCCACAAATGATACAGTGCAAGAAATGCAAGAAAGGATTCGAAAGATGGAGGAACAAATAGAGGAACAAAAGAGAACTATACGACAAGAAATTACTGCATATGTAATTGCTCAACTTCAACGTGCAGGATTAATTAATCCAAACATACTAGCAACATTGTCTATTTTGTCACTAGAAGAAGCTACATCTGCACCACAAGCTGCTAATCAACTGATCCGTCGACCATCTACAGGTAGCAACAATCAAGGTTAGCATCACTTTATTCCAGGCTAAAATTTATATTTTAGCAACTGTAGAGCTGCTGATATTTGTTAATATATGTATTGAATTTTACTATGGTTTGAGTTTTCCATATTGGAGTCTAGATTGTTGTTGATTCTTCTTCTTCTTCTTCTTTCTAAACGTCCAAAAAGTGCCGAAATGCTGGTGTATTTTTTTTAGAAAAATTCTGCCCAATTTTTCCAGTTTCTGCCCAAAATGCTGGCGAATTTGTTTTTGCCTGTGTTGACTTCCGTTCATGTATCTTTTGTAAAAGAATCTGCTTCTTGTTCATGTATTTTTTGTAGTAGAAACTCCTTGATCTGTCATTTTCTTGATTAAAGATGTGGGTTGTGGATTTTATGTGGTTCCTTAGATCAACAGAATGTTTTTTGGGTAGTTGAGGTATATGTACTTCATTATTTAATGTTGCGCTATGTCACCTTTTATGTTCTGAAGTGTAGTCACATTGTATCATATACTTGTTACTATTCTTGAGGGATGTAGTTTGGTACTCTTGCTGCTAGAGAAGTCAATTTGAATGCAATGCTGCTGATGACTTTTGTCTGTCATTTTCTTTTCTGTTATTTCTTTCCCACTTATGTGCATATATTGACAGTTGACATGATATGACAAGGTTTATTAGACTATTATAGGTGAAACTAGTCCAATATTGGATTTATAAAGGCATAAGAATTTAATTGTTGTTCTTAGATTGCTAGTATTATGGATGTTTTGATATTATTTTCCGCATCGGTATTCTAGTACCATGTCATTGTTACTGCTTGTTGATATTGCTATTACTATTGCTATTACTTTCTTCTATCTATTTTTTCCAGTACATACATTGTTGGTTTCATTTTCCTCACTTGTAGGATGTCACTGTTTTTTATGTTGTTGTTGAATTTCTAGTTCTAATTGTAAATTTTGGTTTATAACCAAGCTTTTCTGGTGTTTTCTTGGTTTGCTGGTCGCAGAAACTAATGTTTTCTTTGCTGGTTTCTTATGCTGGTTAAATGATGTTGACATTGGAATTTTTTGCTATTCCTGCAATTTGCTGTTTCTAAAGCTGGTTTAAATGTTGTTAATGTGAAGCTTATAACTAAAAGGGGTTCTTGTTGTTGCATGGGGATGTAATTGTACTATGTAAGTTTGTAAATTTTGATGGCATGGTAGAATTTTCAACCGATGGTTCAAAATTAGATACTTCAATATCAGCTGACAAAATGAAAAATTCTGCCACTGGGAGGAGGCTGAAGACTTATTCATTTGTAACTGACCAACCTGTGGATACTAAGGATAAGTCGATTGATGGTATATTGGGTAGCTTAAAATAGTCAGGTGAGAGGTCGACTAAGTCGAGGGTGTAGGTCTGATGGTTGAGAAGAGCATCCTGTATGTGGCTTCTTTATATCAATTTCTAGGATAGATGTTTAGATAAAATAGTTGCAACATTTTGTTGGCTGTATAAGTTACAAGGATTTAAGTTTGTAAATTGTGTTTAAGTGGAACAGTTGAAACATAGTTGGAGTGTTTAAATGAAACATAGCTAAGTTGAGGTGTCCATATGAATTTTGGCGCCAAGTTAGAGGGGCCGCATATAGGTTTGGCCTTGTGTATTTGTAAATTTGTTTAATCTTACCATGTGTCATGACATTAATATACATATCTTTAAATGAAATCCTTTTATAGAACTTTTGCTAAATTGTTTGTTTTTTGATTATTTGTAGGCGGAGAACTTGAAGTAGGCGACAAAAGTGATGAAGATCTTACTTAGGAGTATTAGGTTGATTCATGATGAAACTAGAAATATTTTATTTTTGTACACTTTGGAAACTTATGTGTTCCAATTCATTGGCAGATATTGTTAAATGTTTTGCTTTTATGGATATTACACCTATTATGGATTCTGATTTTGTTTTAAAATGAATTTTTCTCGTAAATTATATATATTTCAAGGTATGTTACATATTGTTGGTTTGTATAACTGTTGCAATAGAGATATGATAGGCATTGCAGTAGCCCATAAAATAATCATCGCAATATATCACTATAACTATTGCAATAGCATGAGCCCCAATCGGATAAGCCAAAAGTGACCGTTGCAATAGTATAACGTAATCGTCGCATTAGCATTAAGTAACAACTGCAAAATTATAAAATAACTGTAGCAATAGCCTGAACAACAGTTGATAATGAATTCTATTGCAACGGTTTTTAACCGTTCTATCGAGTAAAGAATCGTCGCAATATCATTCATAAAATAACCGTTGCAATAGGCCATCTTATGCATCAGTTATGAAACCGTTATACAGAACCGTCCCTATAGCTCTATTGCGACGATACTTGTTGTAGCGGCCGCAAAACCATCGCAATACCTCTATGGCAGCGGTTTCAATTCCAGCTGCAACGGTTTCGGAACCGTCACCATAAGACTAATTTCTAGTAGTGATTTATTGATTGGTTTATTTCCTTTGGCATTAATTGATGTATTTGAGTTTCTTTTGGCTAGTTTCGAGCTATTTGGATGTCAGTACGCGCGGGATGACATTTTTGGAGCATCATTTGGCTTGCTCGGTATTGGATTTGGCTTGTTCGAGGTAAGTAACACTTCTAAACTAGGTGCTGAGGGTATGGAACCCTGTATTACGTGTTATGTGTTTAGTGTTGAGGTGATGCACATCGTAGGTGACGAGCGTATGGGCGTGCACTATGTGAGTTGTGACTCCATTATTCCTATAGTACTGTGTAGTTACCTGATCTTATCTATAAACATGAAATCTCTACGTACTCGAGCTATTGAGCTATGATCCATGTTAGAAACCATGTCTAGGCTACATGCTTATTCTGTTGGGACCTACTAAGGTCATTTCTGCTGTTGAGTTATTTGCTTACATTGCAATTTCATACTCGATCGTGTTCATTCATCTCATATCATATCATATCATATCTCAGTCTTTGTTGCTATTTATTGACACATCATATCTTTATTTTGGGCTAGTTTCATGGAATTGTGAGACCAGAGATTTACGACTGAGTGAGGTCGAGGGCCTGAGTGTGAGCGATAATATAGGATCGGGCTGCATACCGCAACATGTTATATTAATTTATGTCTGGATTTGGCTTATTATGGTGCTTGGGCTGAAGGAGCCCCCAGAGTCTGCATACACCCCAATGAGCACGGTTGATTTATATTAAGGGATAGATCTTCCATAGGCATGAATCTTGCCCGAAGCATTTATACTTGGGGATGGATCTTCCCCGGGCTGAACTGGCCTTATACAGTACTGAGTGACTGACTATCAGTTGCTATATATANTTGAGTATGATTAGTGAAAAGTGTGAGGCAGTGAGATTGAGTACTCTAAGAGTGTGAGTGCATGAGTTCATCACTAAGATACATTGTATTTGATATGTGTACTTGAGATACATACATAGAGATGCATTTCTTCCTAGTGACACTCATGATTTTACCTGCATATTGACATGTAGGCATAGAGATGTACTTTTCTCATGCTATTTGAAACTGAAACATCTTATTTATTATTGAAAGGTTTTTGAAAAAAATTACAGTTTTCAAACTTACTTATATTTTTGGTCTATTTTGGTTTTCACTGATATACTTGAAAAGCATGTCTGTTTTCTGGAATTGTAAGCGAGCTGAGTACTTTATCTCTAAGTTACTTCTTTTTTTAGTTTCATTATGTTGTTATGAAATATTGTTGGCTATTGGTGTTGGACTTCGACCTTTGTTCTAGCTCGTCACTACATTCAACCTAATGTTAGGTTTATTACTTATTGAGTACATGAGGTCAGTTGTACTCATACTATACTTCTGCACCTTGCATATAGATGTTGGATGCTAATGTTGTTGTGTTCAATGGGAGCTGGATTTGAAGATGTACATGCATTCCGGTTATAGTTGCCTCTTGTTCACGGTGGCTCTAGACTTATGAAAGATCTGTTCATGTATTTTTTAAACAGATGATGTACTTTATTTCATACCAGCTTTATAAATTATAAATCTTAGATGCTCTTGATTTGTACTTCCAGTCCTTGGGGAATGTACAACATTTAAATATTTTCTTTTACTTAATTTTCTTATTAAATTTCATTTAAATTGGATAGTTGTTAATTGACTTACCTAAGGGGTTGGGTTAGGTTCCATCACAACTAGTTTTGGGTCGTGATAAGTTGGTATCAGAGCTCTAGGTTCATAGGTTCTACAAGTCATGAGCAAGTGTCTAGTAGAGTCTTGGGGATCGGTGTGATGATGTACATACCTATCTTCGAGAGGCTACAGGACATTTAGGATAAATTCCTATTTTTCTTTCCTTATCAGACAGAATTGATTTAGCTTGAAGCGTAACTCTTTGAATTTCTTCCACACATTCGTATGCACACGTGAGCACTCGGTATCAGTTATGCATCGACGTCTTGTGATTCCATGTATGAGGTGCGAGATGTGATTTTGGTGTGCTGATGATGGCCCAGCTTGGAGGACTTGAGGTTGGGTTTTGACTGTACCTTGATCACGAGAATTCTGGTAATGTGAGTACATGCTTTTTGACTTATATGTCCGCGAGTGTCCCTACGAGTGGAATTTGTGAGTCGATGAGTGATCGGGTGGCTATATGATGAGTATGATGTGACGATGGGATGTGTTCAGATGGTTCGAAGGTGTGAGAAGAGTTTGCTTGAGATGTAAAATGGGCTATGGGGTGCTAGTTTTCTGTCTTGATATGACGTATAGTCTCAAGTTATGAGTACGTTGAAAGATTTTTTTATGTTGTTTAATTATGGAACAAATTAGATTCCCATGTCTTATTGACGAGTTCAGACTTAGGAAGATTAAGTGATCGCATAGTAGTTGTGGTTGTGAGGGATATAAAGAGGTGTCAGTTTGAGGCTAAGCAAGTGGGTTATAACCTGCGAGGTAATCTACAGATGTGTGATCCTTAATGTTGTATGGAGGCTTCCTTTCTGCCAGTGGGTTGTATTTGTGTGATCTGAGTTTGGATTAGTGGTAATAGTTGACTTGACCATCACGAGGATAAATGCGAGAGTTGTGGATAATTTGAGGTATTAGATGGTTTATTTTACGTCAACTTATGAAGGATTGAGTTGAACTCCGGTACGGGATTTTGACAGTACTATAGTATGGGCATTTTAAGTTATCGAATATTTTGTCTTGTGGCTTTGATCAAGTGGGGGAGTCTACTATTGATGATTTGATTGCACGGTTATGTGTTTTATTGATTTCAGTTTAAGGTATACTTGTGAATCAGTTATGACTTGCAGAGGTTGAGATCGAGAATGACTCGAGTAAGGGAATTTCTAGATACGGGTTGTATTACACTCTATGGGTACATGGAAATTATGGAATGATTGAGTGGTTATTCGTGAAGGATGTAGTGTGCATGGAGTGCAAATTTATTGGTTGCGTTAAGGTAGGGTTAGTTCTTTGGGTATTGTCGTACTAAGGGGAACAGGTCGTTCGGCCGTTGGGCGGTGCTTGAGATTTGAGTAGAGTGGATGACCCTCGAGAATGGTTCCAATGGATTCAAGATTTATATGTAACAATTGTGAATTTAGGATTTGTATATGGCTAGAAACTAAGATTTACATTGGATGGTGTCGAGACTCGCGATATTTCTATATCCTTACGGATTCTACATTTCATAATCAAGAAGGCGATAGAAATAGCTTTAGATTGCAGAAGGTCTCTTCAAATTGGGTATCTCGGTTGTGGCACTTTTGGGGTACTTAAGTGGGAATTCAATGGCTTATGGGCCTTAGGGTGGAGTGGTTTTATGCTAGAGTTCATGGTGTGAGTTTTGGTTAAGGATCATGGTGTTCTAACAAGGAGTAGTATCAATTTGAAGGCAATTCAGAAGGAACTCGGAGAAATAGGACAGTTTAGTAGTATGTTGGATCATCACAATAATGGATGGGATTGGTTCTTTGGGGTAGTTATGATGTGGTGAGTCTCTATGGGTGTTTTGTGGCAATACTCTTGGGTTTGGCGAATGGCGTGGCTCGGTTAAGCTAGAGAGATTCAATTCCGATGACTTGGTTATGTGCAAATGGGTTTCAAGGTGTTCTCAATAGTTTCTTCTATGGTTCGAGGTGTATATTTCCTACTAGCATGAGGGACATGTTGCATAGTATGATTTTCTACTAGATGGGATCAAATGGAAGGTTTCTGGCTGATGTGATATGTATTCTACTTATGACTCGGGGTTGATTATGAGCTTCTTGTACTTTTAACATGATGGCTTGATTGATGCGGTGTGTTGTGTGGGATTAATATTTGTGTGTGCAAGGTCACGATTCACTTTTTAAGGGAAGGTCATGAGTTCTTAGGCAACATAGACGGTTTCAGATGACTAGGTGAATGATATTACTACTTGGTATTGCCTGAGGAGGGTGTGGATTTCAGAAGGCGTGTTTTGTTTGACTTGCGGATGCTTCATTGGTATTGGAGTACTCGCCGTGTTGATCAACTGCTGATATTCGGATTTTTACTATGTGGCATGAGAGAATTATAGAAGTATTACTCATGGTATAATTGTGCATAAGAGATATGTTAGACATTCGGGCGGTGGAGTTGGGATCACATATGGTGATTCATGTGTTCTATGGATTTGGAGACCGGGAATTCTCATAAGCAGATTGTTTCGTGGTTGTGGACTGTGAAGATGTTGCCAAAGCTAGCCAGATGATAGTATGTATTATGATTTAGTCATTGTGGACTATTGGAGGGTTATTTATCTATTATGGGTAGCCAGAGTTGTTTTGGGGCAATTTGTAGGCCCAATAAGGATGTGTATTCTACACTGGGTCGCATTGGA